TCCTCCTCCTCCTCCTCCTCCTCCTCCTCCTCCTCCTCCCCCTCGCACATTCGTTTCAAATAATTGGAAGACTTTCGCGGATTGAGGGCAATTCCTTTTCAAAATCTCGCTCTCGCCGTAGCGCCGCGCACATTGGGTTTTACATTACACCTGAGAAAACCCAATCAGTGGATGCTTTGAAACTTGATGCTATGGATCTTGAGATCGACTGTGAGATCGATAATGAGATCGATAGTGTAATCGATAATGAGGACGATTGTAAGGTCGGTCGTGATACCGAGAGTGACATCGATTCAATGAGATCGATAGTGAGATCGATCGCGAGATCGCTCATGCGATCTCTAGTGAGATCGCTTGCGAGATCGATTGTGAGATCGATGGTGAGATCGATCGAGAAATCGGTAATTAGATCGATGATGAGATCGATCGATAAGAAAATCGACCAAACACCCGGGAACCCAGGAACCTCGCCGCCCTCCGAAATCGGCACGGAACCTGGAACCGGGAACCCGGGAACCCGGAACCGGGAACCCAGGAACCCAGGAACCCAGCCTGCCACCAAAACCGGCGGGGAACTTTCGCCAAATCCTTCAACTCCCGCTAGGACCCCTTCAGTGCAAGCACTGATTGGGGAAAGATGCAAAAGTTTCACGGGTTCCCATGGTCAGCGTACCAGAAGTGGCGTTCTGGAAGGATTCAGGATTATGGGGGTGCAACAGTTAGGCTGATTCGCGGTGTTAAGTCCCAGGAATGGCGTTGTGGCGCGATTCAGGATCGTCAAGACGCAACAGTCAGGTTGACCCGTGGCGTTGGAATCCCGAGGTCAATGTTTTGGCGTGCTTCAAACGGTTGTCTAACAACGAGGCAGTTATCAGTGGAAATGAACCGTGGTGGGGGCCTATGAAGAGGGAGCTTGGAGGGAGGGTTTATTCCAACATCGTTGATGGCTTTTGGGCTTACACTGGTCCTCCACCTCCCCCTCCTCCTCCTCCTCCTCCTCCTCCTCCTCCTCCTCCCTCCTCTCCTCCTCCTCCTCCTCCTCCTCCTCCTCCTACCCTCCCTCCTCCTCCTCCCCCCCCTCCTCCTCCTCCTCCCACTCCTCCTCCTCCTCCTCCTCCCCCTCTTCTCCTCCTCGAACCCTCCTGGGCCTCGGATGGCTCTCGCTCCTGCCGGTGCCCGCTCCTGGGACGCAGATGCGTGCTCGGCCCCCTGCGCGCGGCGCCGCTTTTGCAGAGCTCCCCTGGGCCGCGGGCCCTGGCACGCAAGGGGGGGAGGAACACCTGACGCCAAGCTTCGGTCGGGCATGTCCTCCGACAGTTTCGACGTCCCAAGCTACTCTAGGTTTGATCGCCACACATATTTCGAGCACCGAGAAAGCATCGAACCTTAAGGGTTTTCACGTGTCTGGCCCTGGGAGGCGATACTCGCTCGACACTGCTTCGATACTTTTCTGGGTGCTCGAAATTATTTCTGGGATGCGGTCCTTAAGTGCGATGGGATCAACATAATCCTACAGGCGGATCTTGGAATAACAAAAGTACACAGTCATGCAACAATTAAGCATAGCCCAAAAAGAGCACGAACAATCGGCCCCAGACTATTTTGTACTGCTCTTGAATCTCAGACGCCTCCTATATGAGGGCCGGGTAAACGGGCTCGGAGGGTCGCGCCGCATCGCCAATACCTCGGCGATATATCGCCGAGGTATCGGCGATGCATCGGCGACGTCGGCGATGCATCGGCGCCGTCGGCGAGGAGAACATCGAGCTCCACATCGAGCCGCATCGGCGATGCATCGGCGATGCGGCGCGATCCTCGGACCTCATCTGCTCGGACCCCATCTGGGAGGCCTAGACCTATTCCTCCTGCAGAAGGACCTGCCCGACTCGAAGCTGAGCGGCTCTGGGCCGGACCTCCGCGAGGTGGTGCCCCGCGGCGGCCACAGCCACGGCCGCAGGCTGGAACGGGGCCTCCTGCAGCAGGCACGGCACACGGGAGCGGGCGGGCGGTTGGGGCGGGCGGGAGGGTGGCCGGCCCGTCACTGTCACTGCCAAGGGCGCCCTGCAGGAAAGAAGCCGCGCCTAGACGGCACATTGGCAAACTGTGCGAAAGCACATGCGACCGTAAAGCACGTAGGGCTCAATCAAACCAGGGCGCGTGCCTTGCTGGGCTTCGGATTACAATGCACAAGCATGCTAGTGCAGCGAGAGGGTGGACGGCAAAACACTGGCCAGGGAAAGGAGAGCGGGGGGAGAGGGGGGTCGGGGAGTGGTGAAAGAGGGGGGAGGGGGGAGGGAGGGCATTTCTGTTACCTCTCCGCGTGCCCAGCTGAGGCCAGGCACTTGCATGCAAAAGAGAGAAGTTCAAGGGCCGCCCTGCGCCCTGGCCGCAAGGGCGGCTCTCTCTGCCCTGCTGGCGACCGCCTTGCGGCGCAGTGAGGGCATTGTAGAAGGAAAAGTTGGACAAGGAATCCAGGGTCTGGAATCCTGTGGCACTCCAATCGTGGATTGGCCAGGATGCCATGGATACGTATCACCGTCGCCCTCATCAGATAAGGAACCCTCCAAGGTCTCAAGCCTCCTGGGTACATTCCTGATCGAACGCCCCCACCGTATCGCCAGGGCCACTGACCGACTCGGGCGACGGCGACAGTGACAGTGGCGGTGCCGACGCGCCCAAGCCTGGGGGCGTGCACCGCCAGCCTGCGAGGAGTTCGACATCCTCTGAGCTGGAGAGGGGAGGAGCAGCAGCAGCAGCAGCAGCAGCAGCAGCAGCAGCAGCAGGGATAAGGAGACAAGACCGACGGAGAGAGCAACATACATCTTCAGGTCAAAAGTTTTTCCTCTTGGACAAAAAATATGAGAACCTCAATGGATCCAATTGGATCCCTTTTCGGGTGTGGGAGAGTTTCGTGGATCCTATTTCTGTGTTGCGCGGATCCAATTTCCTGTGTGAAAAAAACGATTGATCCATTATTACTAACATCCAAGACTCAGGGGAAAAGGGATCCGCGGAGCACCGCAAGTGAAGCATCATGCTATCCACGGAGCTGTGGATCTGCAGCAGCGGGCCCGGCCAACTCCCGCATCTCCACCCGTAACATATCTACCCCACCCCGAAGCGAGCGCTACATGTATCCGCTCACCTGAACGGCGCGTCGCTTCCGACATGTGGGGTTCAAAAAGAAAATCTTTCGGCCTGCGTAAGTAAGACAAAACAAGACACGTAAAACGTAAGGGAGGCACCCTATGTGAGCGGAAAGCCGACTCGGGTGAGCTGGCCCGAAGACGCTTGCAGCAGTGGTGGGAGGCGTAGGATCGGGAGGAGGTCGAAGGAAAAGAAGAACATGCATGCCTTGTCAGTTCCAACGCCCATGATCTGCGCTGGGCCTAACGATCTTGCCCGTCTGTCGCAGGCCCGACGTCTATTTACACATGTTCGGCAGTGGCACCGACTCGGCATCCACGAAAAGGGCTCCTCCTCCTCCTGCTCCTCCTCCTCCTCATTGTCCCCCCTGCGCGCGCATGCAAGGTGGGTCCTCCTGCACTCCTTCTCTTCCTTCCCTCCTTCCTGCTTCGCGCTTTGACAACAAAAACGCCGATGCAGTGAGTCGGAGCTGACGTCCCTCTTGCGTGACCCCAGCCAAGGCCGAGCGACATGAAACCTGCACTTGACTAAACGTAATAACAATAACAATGCTAATAAGAACAATAATGCGAATACTTCTACTAGGAATACTGATTCTGACTATGTCCAAAGACAAGTATAATACTCGCGGCTGGCCATTAACAACAACACAAGATCTCCCTCTTCGTTCTTCTCGTCCTTGACGTCGGCGTCGTGCTCCTCCTCCTGCTCCTGCTCCTCCTTCCCTCTCCCCCTTCCTCTCGAGATTCGTCGTCGTTCCCTTGCAGGTTCCGCCTGGACTCGACGCCGGTTCAGTATCCACCAGTCGCGGCCGAGCCTTTCGGCTCAAGCGCGCACCGCCGACAGCACGGCAGAAGAGACGGGAGGATCACGAGGGTGGCCGCCCCGTGCCTGGGACAGATAGCGAACGAGCCTGCACTCGTGGTCGGACAGGCCCCCCTCCGGCAAATCGCCCTTGAGTACAAGGTGCCAGGGGCACTCCGCGTGAGCACGGCACCGCATTCCGAGTGCACCTCCAGGGGGGCTGCCAATCGACGCCACGAAACAACCGAACGTATCCAGCGAGAGAGCACTTCGCTGAGCGAAACCGACTAGGGGCTGCACAGGTGCACTCGAATGCCAATGTCGAGTGAGCCAGTGCAGATTTCCTCCGTCGACTTGTTTGTGTGGGCGTTCTCTCGATGCCGGATGCACGCGGACGTGCGCGAGCGGAAGGAAAAAACCAGAATTGGCAGGAACCTTAGCCGCTCCGATACAAAAGCCCTCACAAATGGGGGTCCGGGTAGATGGGGTCGACGGATCGCGCCGCATCGCCAATGCATCGGCGACGCCATCGTGGAGAAAATCGAGCCCCACATCGATGCGCATCGCCGATGCGGCGCGATCCCCTAGCCCCATCAACTTTGACCCCATATAGGAAGCCTAGATCAATGCCCGAGTAAATCATCGGGAAGCTAGGGACTGGGCGCAGCCGCGCAAAGTGCTGGTTCGGGTCGGCGTTCACCGCCAGCTCGAAGTGAAGCTGGGGTGGAGGGGGGTCTGCGAATCAAAATTTGCTTGGAGGTGGGGGCCCGAAGAAGCACGCACTACTCCCTCCTCCCCTCCTCGAGCCCCTCCCCTATTCCTCCGGCTCTACGTTTCAACATTCTGAATACAACTCTCCTGTCTCCCCAGATTCCGTCCGAAATTTTCATTCTCTACACATCTAATTCGATTGTTCAATTTCTCTAATGGCTTTGTACGAACCGATTGCTCTCGGTGCTTCAAAATGGTGCTCCCGCTGCAGCATGGGTCTCCTCTTTGGATCGGCGCTTTGCTCCCGTCGTTCGGAATGGCGCTCTCGCCCAAGCGCG